TTTAATAGGACATAGCCTATAATAGTGACTATATATAATGAAATTCAATCTTTCATCAAGTATAATAATGAAATGAAATAAAAAATAATCTTTACTCTGGTACAGACTTTATCCAATAAAAAATGCCTCCTTCTTGATAGCAAAATTCATTTAATTAAATTACTTAAAATAAGAAAGATTTCGATTGCAAGATATTCAAATCGAGCGAACATATATACTGCTTACTTATTTTCATTTGTATCTTTTTTAAAACAAAAAAAAGTTTTTCAAGGTTAAGGCAAAAATGTATAAACGTAGGCTTCCTTAAAAAAAAGAGAACCAAAAAAATTTTTTCTGGCAATAGAAAAAAATATTCTGGGATTTCTATGTTTTTATAAAAATTCACTGGTATTATATATATATATATATATATATATATAACACTAATGAACCATTGATTCATAAATCAGTAGTGAGAAAATAGGTGATGCCCGATAAAGTTGGTGTCTTGGGGGAGATTAATGTGAAAGGAATTACAAAAAGTGGTCGACAGAAAGTATTTTCTGAAAAACCGTAGTTCGATATAAAGCTTAACATAAGTCAGTTGCTTGGGGTGAAAGGTTAGCAGATCAAGAATATAGTAAAATATTTCATGAGAGAAAAGTATCATAGCCGTCGGAGAGAGGAAGATAGAAATTCAATTTAACTAACTATACTTTCGGACTGATGATCCTCACAAATCACAAAATAGTAAAATGTAACCATCTCGTATGAAAAAAATTATATTTAAAAGTATTATTGTTCGTTTAATAGGACTTTAAGAATCACTTAATCGCCAATTCATATAGGTAGTTAGGTTTTTTTCTTTTTCTTTCAAAGTATTATAATTATCGTTACTTGTATATATAAGCTCTCAGGCTGAAGCCCTCCCCCCATAATTAAAGCTTGGATGGAATGTAAAAGAATATAGGGAAATATGGTATCTTACTTGAGTTTCTATTTCTATCAATTGACAGTAACAAGTATTATGCATTCCACCACAGGAGGATCTAAGGGGGAGGAAGGGGGCTTTTGAGCTGATGCCCTAAAAAAAAAATAAATAAAAAAAAAAAATAAATAAAAAAAAAAAGGTAAAATATAGCCACCTTTTATGAAAAAAAAATTATCTCTTAAAGTATTGTTGTTCCCCTTATTACATTTAGTAGGACTTAAAGAATCACTTAAACACCACTTCGTAAATGTACTTAGTTTCTTTATTTCTTCCGAAGTAATTATCATAATATATACATGAAAAAAAAATCTTTCGGGCTAAAACCTTCCCGCCCTCCAAAAAAAATTAAGTCCTGGATCCGGTAGTGCATTACACATAAATGTATATAATTATTTTCTCACGGTCTCAGTTAATATTGAGTGGAGCCGCCCCAGTAATAATTAGGTAAATCAACTGCTATCCAAGTTATTGTATTTCTTTTAGCTATCTGAACAATTATTGCTGAATTCCTTGAGAGCAGATTTAAACTTAGTTAGTCAAAGCACCTTTTCTTGAAAAAAATCATTTGTTTTTTTTTTCGCCTAGACCATAGCTTAGATTTTGTGCGTCATTATGTTAATGACTAGTTAATCAACAACAAATACCATTGTAATTGTTCAAATCAAATTTTTATTTTTATATATTTATTTATTAAATAAATACAACTATTAAATGTGAACAATCAAGAATAATTACTTCTTGAGATACTACCCAATGGCAACACTCCCTAAATAGTTCTAAGTATGAAGATCTCGAGGTCATCTTCTTTTCAGATGCCTAAGAAGATTATTAAGGAATCGAGGAGGTAGCAAAGCTGGAAACAAGTGGGTTCGAATGGGTCTGTAGTTAATCGTGATAGGATTGGTATCTGGATAGGGCCAAATCAACAATATATGGAACATAAAGGTCTTAATAAATGATTTTATTTGTGACAAAATACGGATCATTTAAGCTTTAATGAAGGGTTTTAAGATTAGATACGATAGGAATTCGATGGTTTGGTATAGTCAGCTATTCAATATAGTTGAGTAGCTGAAAAGTTTTATTGTATTTCTCTCTAATAATAACAAAATTAGTATATGACAAAAAGATGGTTGAAGTTAAATACAAAGAAAATACATCTGAAATTGATTCATACCTATATACAATATTCACATTCGCCCAAAAGCCTCATTGCCATCCATTAGTGAAAAGCAATGCAAGACTCCAGGAGATCCTAGCGCTTCTCATCGAGCCATGTCACTGGAATTGAAAGCCAGTGGAGACTCAGAGAGGGCACTGAATCCGCAGACACCCAGGACAGGAGAGTATTAAAACAGCAGAAAGAACATTGAACTCTGTCAACATTTTGATGAAGAAACATTGTCAGAGTCATTACACTAAGAAAACTGGACTAGGAGGTCATTTCCCACAAGTGGAAATAGCAGATGTGGTATTTTAAAACAAAATGGACAGAATAGAAATATTTATCAGGAGTAGTCAGACGTATAATAATGCATTTATCGGACGTTATATCAAGAAATGTATAAAGCACTTTATTTTTAGTAATCAATGAGCTACAACTCGAAAGAAAAACGAACTGTAAAAGCTGATTGAGGATTCCAGAAACAACAGGATAATGATAATAAATACAGAATGAGTTGCGGTTTGGTATGTGCGGTCTTCATCAGTATCCTTGCCACATTCTCTTAATCTCTATCAATTTACTACCCAAACCGTCCAATATATCACTTCTGTAGCATTTATACCATTCTTCGGTTGAATTCGCGTCCAAATTTGCTGTTTTATTACTTTTTTTTTGTCTTGTACTATTTGTATATTTCTATACATTTTATGTATTCCGTATTTTAATATTTCCTTCATTTATCATGATTTCATAATTCATTAAAAAAATCATCTTATTTCCAGAATATTTTAATAGTATACTTCTTGTTTTGCTCAGCCTTGATTAAGTTCAGTCCTACAATTTAGCCCGAAACGTCGGCACACATTAAAAATATAACACTGATCTGTGTATGTTCTTCTTTATCCGAATCTAGCCAACTTATCCTGTAATTATACGTAAACAAGTAATTTTAATTTAATTTTTTTTTTTTTTTTTTGAGCTTTGGGGCTCCACCAAACCATCGAATTCCTATCTTATCCAATCCTTACAATCCAAAGTCCTCCGTAAAATCCTTAATGCTCCATATTTTGTCACAAATAAAACCATTCATAATGACCTTAATGTACCATATGTCTCTGATTTAGCTCGAGCCAGATATCTATCCTTTCATGATAAACTTCAGTCCCTCGTTTCCACTCTTGCTTCTTTCTCGATTCCTGATAATCCTCCTAGGCGTCTGAAAAGGAGATGGCCTCGTGATCTTCTTACTTAAAATTATTTAGAGAGTGCTACCACTGGGTAGTAACTCTTCAAGCCTGTACATGCCATTATTTATATTTGCGCAAATTTACTAGTTGTATTTGTATACAATTGTAAATTCCATTAAATAAACAAAAAAAAAAAGTTTTTTTTTTTAATTTTTAACTTTTTTTTTTATTGTGAAATATTGCAATCTGTCTCAGTTAAGGAAGCTTATAATAGAGTTCAGAGAGCACATTCACACTGTATACACAGAAACATAAATAAATAAAATAATATCAAAAGAATACATAGAAATATAGAAAAAAATAAAATATTATTTTTTCTTATATATATAAACGCATAAGCAAGTAAAAATAAAATTAAAAGTAAAATAAAATGTACTTAAAGTAAAATCTTAGACACAAGCATACACTATTTACAATCAGCGACGGAAACTATGAACAAACTACTCTTGTCCTCCCACTTGTGGAGGGAAAAGCGAGGCTTAGGAGATCCCTGCGCTTCTCCCTCAACCACTTCACTGGTATTTAAAACCAGCAGAAGCTGAGTAAGAGAAAAAAATTCTATATTTTCTATCTGCTGTTCTGACAATTTGTTAGAGATTGAAGCCCAGTATCCTTAGTTTCCCAACTCTTGTGGATATTATTCTCGTCCGAGACTTTCGCTATTTTTGCTTGATTTCACTGATTGGTCTCTCGAAAAATCCTCAAATGCTGTAAGATGCTGTATCTGTAAGATTATATTTATATTTCTAATTACATGCCCCATATATTTGTTTTATTTCATCTTCAATAAGACCGTTTCCTAAGTTTTTTTCTTCTAACAAAACGTTGATTGGGTAATAGCCTAATGATTACATAAAAATGGAAACATTATTTACACTTAACAAAACGATAAGTCTCTAGTGGAATAGTTTATTCAACCGATAACAAGTAATCTAGGATTTTTACTGAAAGCTAAAATTGAATTGTCCAGAAAACAATTTTTTGTTATGTATTTGTTGATGAAAATAAAGATCTTTAAACAATATATCATCTATGAATTTTATATATTGTTCTGATACAGGTACGTGCAAGTGAATGATTGCACTTCTCATAAGTATGAAATGAATTATATTTATCATATTTAAACCAAAACGTTTGGATCGGAAATGTCTCTTTAGCGGATGTACGTGTTTTCAAGCTATAAAATCCTCATGTTTATTCTATTAGCTAAGAATTCAGAAAGATTAACATTAATGTACCGGTAATAGATACTGTGATGAATTACTAAATGAATTCACCAAAGTTTTAAGCAAGGAAATGGCAAAAGGAAAATGGCAGATAAATCGAAATTTCAAATTTATCTCCTAAAGAAAAGTGATAAGGAAATACCCCAGAAGCAAAGACCCAGTCTTGCTTCATTAATAAATTTATTTAAAAATTTAACCAATCGGTTGTTGTGGGACGATACCACTTGACGTTCAGGCATTACTCTCTTAAGTGTTCTTTCTTAAAATTTTTTGCACTCTGTTATGGGCGTATAAGCTTATTAACTGTTAAGTAGTTCAAAACTGTCCATTACTTGCACATTTACATTTTTTTTTTTTTATCACATTTTCCAACCTTAACTCATTTATTTCAGGAGTGATTGCCCTTCGCCTCTGTACAGAAACTACCTCCCCTACCTCGAAGAATTCCCAGTGAGCGGTAACCTGCAGAATGCCGATTATCAGCAGGAGAAGAAGTCTGGAAAGGAAGCTAGAATCAGACGGCCGATGAATGCCTTCATGGTCTGGGCAAAGGTCGAGCGGAAGAAGTTAGCAGACGAGAATCCCGATTTGCATAATGCCGACTTATCCAAGATGCTAGGTAACAATCTATTATATTATATCAACTATTGGACTCATAATCTATAAATGGTATTTGGTTTAAATTTAGTCCATTAAAAATGGATTAACCTTTTGTATGTTTTATTAATCATCAAACAGACACTGTTTTTGCAAATATCATTAACATATTCCATCTTTCTTATTCCATATTAAAATAATTTTTAAATATATTCAATTAGAAACAGTCAAGTCATATTATAAAAATTTAGACTTAATCAAATCGATATTTTGATGATGTACAAGACACTTGTTCGTAGCATATATTTGTTAGTGTGTGTATGAGAGAGAGTTAATGAAATAGCTGATATGCCTGGGATCCGTTTTTTATTTATTTAATTCTATACTTTTATAAAACTAATTCTAGACTATTAGTTGAGAATTGACCATTTAGTTGGATAAGCTGGTTTGAAATATATCTTTAGTACTCTAAAATGCACTATTTATAGTTGCGAAGAATTAGATAATCGATAATTTATGATTAATAAATTTTATAACCACTTATCAATGAATTCACATAACTAACAGGCACCACTCACATATCAATTTAAATATTCCAAATGATGGTTACTACTTCATTTTTTAAAATATATCAAATTTTGGCAATATTTTGAGTATGTAATTGTTAAAGTTGCAGAAACATTTGTACCTCCTGTAAATTTTTTATTTATCATGACAAGAAAAGTACCACTAATATGCTCTTTGATTATTCTTATTGTGTACAATGGCTAAATGTTGAATATGGCATTTATTGGCTATGCCGTTGTAAATAAAGTTTTGCAAGGTAAACAAATTTTTTTCATTTCGTAATTTTATTAACCGCTATGAAGCCCGTTATTTTCCAGTTGGCCATAAAAGCACTGGGCTCTTATTCCACCAAAAATTGTACATGTTACTATTTAAGTTTAAATAATTTTATCTTATATATATATATATATATATATATATATATATATATATATATATATATATATGTATATGTATATGTATATATATATGTATATGTATATATTATAGTTTACCTGCGGTGGTTACCACAGTATTGGAAGAGGTTATGCACTGTGGTAATTCACTGTTTCATAATAAAAAAAATTAAAAAACTGAAAAATCCTAGTGGTTTAAAAATATTGAATTGTTGCCCCAATTTGTCAGAAAACAAAGCAACTTGTAATTATCCCCTGCATACTCCACCATTATCCATTTAAAAACTTCTTTTTTTTAAGAATGCTAACCATTTAAATTAAGGTATATCGTGCTATTTTAAGTTATCCTTAGTAAAATCGACTCGTTTTGATAATTCTTTTATTATCATGGAATTGTAGAATAATTTGTCTTTAATTAGCCGTGCGTAGTCTGAATGGTGGGATATCGAAACCAGATATTCACATATTTTATAATTAAACTGTTGTTTAATTTACATCGGTGTGATATGTGTTGAGAAAATATTATAATATTTTTATTTATGGGGAGAATAAAATTTAAAGTCAGCGAGCAACAACAGTACAATTAATTCATTTTGATTATATCTTAAAATGTATAATTATAATTCACTTATATATATATTCGGTTGGCTCTACAGACCATACATATATAGCAATTATTATTACAGTAAATTATATACAAGGAAATAATATAAAACAGTAATCATATCATTTAATTTAACGGGAAATTAATAAAAATATCATAATAATGAAGCTGAACATTTTATCTATAATAAATGCTATGTGCACGTTTGTGTGATGAGATCTTGGACCTTGGGATTTAAGCCTCGATAACGCTGGACGAGTTGGCAAACTATGACGAACCCACGAGTTCATAAGCGGGCAAGTCAGCTATAGTGATAGTGATGACACACAAAACCTTGTTTGCTAGTGAACATTACACTGTACGAGTTTACAAACAGCATGCGAACTCGCCTGCATGTAGTTTTGTAAATTCGCTTGGCGTAATCCAAGCTTTAGATGAAGTGTCATCCACAATCTAAAAGTTTGGGAGACCCCTGCGTTAGATAATTATTTCTATTATACGCATGGTTTTCTGGATTCAATAGAAAAGAAAAAAAGAAGAGATTTTCAGTAGATAATGTACCCAAACCAACTATCCGAAATTGAATATAATATTTCCTTCCATTCTATTCCTGGCCTTCTCAGCTGATTTGGCAATGTCCCGATCCCTTCGACAATAAAAAAAAATATATGAAAAGTAAATGTTTCGAGTAAGATGAAGAGATCGACTCAGAGTTGGGCTTTAGTGTGTGAAGACAATTGGGCTGAAGTGACGCTAGTGTTGCGGTACTAGCCAGGAAACGGAAGCGGACAATCTGGATAAGAACACCTGTGCATTAATGAATATACCGCCGTGGGAACTGGCTCCTACTCCAATATCTTTAAGATAGCCCCACGGCCAGTCTCCTTAATGTCATTTTCATATTTTTTAATTTTTAATTTCGGACATCGTCATCGTCTGTGGGACCGTTTTTTCAAGGCGTTTTCAAAAGTTGGCAATCATGTGGATGACATGCGGATTTATATTCATTATTCCTAGTTAAAGCTAAGAGAGATTAATTGGCAACTGTGTAGTAAATGTTAAGGAAAATATGGACAGCTTGAAGAAAAGTTTGCTGTCTCTCCCGAGTTGAATAAAGATGGGAGACTGTAGAGGAGCGCTCTCTTTCCTCACACACACACATGCTTGGATAAGATCATTGACAGAAGGAAAATAATTGAGAATAAACGAACAAGGTGAATTGTGTCAGTCTACAACGCTATGTGGCTTGTTTATGGAGCGTAAAATGGTAGTTTTATTGCTGGAGGCCTATCAACTAGTGATAAGAATAACATCAATTCTATTCGATCTAACTCAGCAGCCCATTTAATTTTCTTCACTAGGCCGATCTTTTCCATTTCTATTTCAACACTATTCACCTCATTTTACTAAACCAAACATGTCAGGTGTTTTAAAATTTTAATCGTTGCATATATCCCCATGAATAAGCTTTTTTATTAATCAATACATCTAGAATAGACTAATTATTTGTATACTGGGTATCAAAAATATAATATTTATTATGATCTAGGTAAGATAAAATAATTTGTCAATCATTTGTTATATCAAAGTAATAAAATATGATAAAAATTTAGTTAGTATTTGGGAAGTGGTAAGTCATGATTCAATTATATACCAAGCGCTCCTTGTTTCAACTGATACTTTTTACTGGAATTTTCACTTTAGATTCTCAATTATTAATGGGGACGGTGACAAAAAATACCTAGTGAAACCTCTATTAACCGATACTTCTCTATAGCGGACCATTTTTATAAACACCATCCAGTTTTAAATAGTATAATACTATTGAGGTCTTCTCCATACCGGAAGCTTTCTATAACAATGATGGGTTTGATGTAAGTATTTTGATTGATAAGTTTCCCCATAACGGAGAGCAGGAAATCAGTGAAGAGCATGTTGTGTATGGTTCAATTACATGTATCACAGATCGTCCCTCTCCGAATAAAAATAAATTGGAGGTGAGAATATTATTCCCCCCCTCCTCCCTTACATTTCGAAGATCAAAAATAAAATCAATAACAACTAATCAACATTCATGGGCAATCTTCCATTTTTACGTGAAGACTTTGTCACATTTCCCGCCTCAAATTTGAATCATCGGAGAATTGCGAGTTCTTCCCACTGCCTCAAACCTTTAAATAAAAATATTTACTATATTCAATTTCTTTGTTAACTATAATTTATGGGTGTAGTTTTAATTTAAAATAAATGGGTATAATTTTTAAAAATACGTTAAAAAATAATATATACATTTTTTTTCATATATATAATAATATATTGTTCGTATTACAATAATTATGTTGATTATATTAATTATCACCCAAAATTTTTATACATAATATAAACTCGCTTGTCTCTTTGAGGGGGTCTATCACATGTTTACAGGTTTACATATTTAGTAGTTTAATTTTAGGTTTAATCTTTTATTTGTAATTTTCTTACAGAAATGTTCGACAAAACGCCTATCAGCGTCCATTTAAGATAAGGACTCATTAAAAAGCTTAGTATTCTCGAATTTTCCACTCGTTTCAAAATTCTAAAAACATAGGTAAGTGAAATTTTTTAAGAAAAAATTTTTTTTTCTAAAACTTCCGACCTCACCATAGATATCAAATAACATTCTTCTACGTGGATTCGCACAGGAAAACATGCGTAACCTTTCAATACACTTTTAAACGCTCGTTCAGGCAATGGTTTGGATGATGTGTAAACGTTGCTAAACAGGAGTTTGTTTTAAACAAAGGAATAATACGCGCTTAAAATTATAATTATAAACTTATTTTCACTTATGCTTTTGTTTAACAATTAGGTAAGATTTTACGGTCGTACAGGACCATAAACTTACGAAACGTTAAAAATATTGGTAGGGAAAAATGGATTAGAATTAGGCATCTAATTAGAAATAGAATTAGTAACTTTCACAGCTCAACTCACAGCTCCTGCAATATTGTTCGAATTCAGCTGTCAATTTTTTTTTTTTTTTTTTCTCGCACACATTATTTTCTTTAAAATTAAAATTATCTAACTTTGGAAAATATTCTTATATTACAAGTAATATTTTTTTTTTCTTCTTAATAATTTGATGAACCTTTTTTTTTAATTATATATTTTTCCAATTTATTAATTATATATTATAATTTGTTAAAGACGTGCGATAAGATAGATAATTGCTTCCTTTTTTCGGTTTAAGGAAAAATTACATGGATATTTATCACGCAATAGAAAAAGATGAAAAAAAAAAAAAGTGAGAGCATTGGAAATCGTTACTGTTTGTAACGAGGATATTTTTACAACTAGTGTTTTTTTTTTCAAAAACTTATTATTAAGGTATGAATTAATGTGATTGCATACACGAGGGCTCAAATAAGAATCTGAGGGAGAAATATTTTGAAGCCACTGTCGGATGTACCGAATGAC